CTGTGGAAAAAGAAGAGGGGAAATAAGGCATAAAACAGGACTTCAGGCCCCACTTGCATGCACCACTCAACTTCCCGGTAGCCTCACAGTTACCTACATGAAGGAGGTGTTTCAGCAGGGCATCCTGCACTTCCAGGCTGTCACAGGGTATTGTGCACGTTGGTAATTGGGATCACAAAGTGCCACTGCAGGAGAAATGGTTCCATTGCACAAAGTATATTTGGTTACTATTTCTGCAGCCTTCTGAGCTGGCCTAGTTCTTCCAAATTAGGGCCTTTCTTCTATACCATTAACTTGTTTTTTCTCCTCCTCTTTCTAAGCCTAATGTGATAAAAGGATGCCTGATTTGCCACCACATTACTTGACCAATTCTAGACAGGAAGCAGGGAACAGAACGACTTTAAGGCAGTTGTATCAGCTTAAGAGTGAAATAAACCACCTACACAGCAGGTCCAAAGAGCACAGCCTGCAAGAAGGAAAGGCATCATGGAAGGGAAGTTACTGTTTAACCTGCTTCTCAGACTAGATGTGGGAGATAGAGAAAGGCCATCGTCAAATATACATCTGGAATCAGGAACTTCTGGATTACCAGTTTAAGCAGATACTCCAGAGCCCAAACAACTCACCAGGGGTGTATTAGTACGTAAAGCAGAACAGAAAATTTCCACTTTTTCTTCAAATTCCCCTGGAAATGCACTTAAATCAGATCACTCTTGAGTCTCCTCTTCCCTCAACCCCAATAGACAAGTGCCAAAACGAAGGGAACTGGTGCAAGCTGTGCTACTAAAGGGGCTGCAGGAAAGCTGGAGAGGGGCTTGGGACAAGGGCCTGTAGGGACAGGCCAAGGGGAATGGCTTGAACCTGCCCGAGGGGAGACTGAGCTGAGCTCTTAGGCAGAAGCTCTTCCCTGTGAGGGTGCTGAGGCGCTGGCACAGGGTGCCCAGAGAAGCTGTGGCTGCCCCATCCCTGGCAGTGTTCAAGGCCAGGTTGGACACAGGGGCTTGGAGCAAGATGCTCCAGTGGAAGGGGTCCCTGCCTGTGGCAGGGGTTGGAGCTGGGTGAGGTTTAAGGTCCCTTCTATCATAAACCATGGTTTCCTATGATGTGGTTGCGATGCTGCCTGCCTGCATCCCTACAACAACAAGAGTAAGCGAAGCTCCTCTCAGGTACCTGCTGCCACATAGGAGCACACGGCATGGGAGACAGAGGAAATCCGGGTGGCTACAAAGAGGAATCAGCATTTTTAGAGGGCAACTTTCTGACCTACATTAAAACGCCAACTGAAGGGCTCCACGCACCACATCCTAAAAGGACCTTTAACTCCCTCCTGATCATACTGAGAGCCTGGGCAGACTTGTTCAGTTCTGAGCATCCCTGTTTGCATCAAGTGAACCCCCTCAAGGGCTCTGAAACTGTGACTCCAACACCATGAACTGCACAGGAGAGAGCATGGGAGGACTCAAACACTGCTGCCTAAAGCTCTGAGGATGTGCCTCAGGAGGGCAGGAGTAAAGTCTTCCTCACCTGCACAAAGGAGCAGTCATTGAGTGTTATCCCTCACAACCACATGGGCCATGCACACTGCTCCCAAATCCAGGAGTTTCAAGCCTAAACTTGAGTACATCCTGGTTAGCGTGAGCAGCATCAGATGTTTTTAAGCTATTCACTCCTAACGAGCATCACATGCCTTATGCTCAGACGGGAAGAACTGATCACAGTGACTTACGTGCCGCATGAGTGAGCATCTGCTGACAGTCCAGGTTCTGCTGCTGCCGAAGGGAAAGGCCCAGCCATTCCCATCTCTGGGAACAGCGGTGCAAAGAGGGTCCTCCCAGGTGGGAGCTGTGCAAGTGCTTAACAAGAGTCACATGCTCCACAAACTAGTTTCTCTGTAAGAGCAAGCCCTCAACAGTAAGCAGAACGTGCCCACATCCTCCCAGCTCTGACACAGACCAAGACATCAGGCTGAGAACGAGTTCAGCTCCTTGACAAGCATAGAAAAAGGCTCCTTCAATACCTTAAATGGGCTACAGGAAAGCTGGAGAGAGGCTTTGAACAAGGGCCTGTAGGGCCAGGACAAGGGGAATGGCTTGAACCTGCCCAAGGGGAGACTGAGCTGAGCTCTTAGGCAGAAGCTCTTCCCTGTGAGGGTGCTGAGGCGCTGGCACAGGGTGCCCAGAGAAGCTGTGGCTGCCCCATCCCTGGCAGTGCTCAAGGCCAGGTTGAACACAGGGGCTTGGAGCAAGCTGCTCCAGTGGAAGGTGTCCCTGCCCGTGGCAGGGGTTGGAGCTGGATGAGCTTTAAGGTCCCTTCCAGCACAAACCACTCTGGGATCCTATGATGATTGTTTCACCCAATGCAATTCTGGCACACAATATTCTTTCACCTTCCCATAGAGTAAAACAGCAACAGAAGATATTCTTGTACCTGTCAAAGAGCTAACAAATTGACTTTTGGCTTTAGTTGCCTGGTTTCAGTCCCATTTCTTGCACCTCCTCACAACGAGTGGCCGCATCCTTCACAAAGCCTGTTTGCTTCTGTTGTCTGCTGCGGACAGGATGAGCTGTGAAACCAGAGCGCTTTCAGGGTGGAGCTCTGGGGCTTCTCTGTATTTTGCTGCTGAGAAAAGCCCATTGCAGCTCTCGGTGGTTGTGCAGACTCTGACGAAGAGAAGGGAACCGGAGCTTAACACCTGACTTCTGAAATGACAGAACTTCCCACATGGAGGAAGAGGCACAGGTGGACAAAGGGAAAAGAAGGGAAGAAGCAGCACTGCAGCTCACTCATTCACTAAGCAAGGCAGAACCAAAACCCTACTTAGTGAAGTAGGTGGAATTCATGCACTGGTGGTCAAAACTGAGGGGAAAGGTCTGCACGGACCTGGGAAAGGCTACACAGGAATGAGCAGTAATCAAACAGTTCTTTGGCTTCCTGGGCAAGAATAGGGCTTAATCCAGTGGGAGCAACGCAGAGACACAATAAACAAGCAAAGTGTTTCCACTTGTGCACTGGACCTGTCACACGTTTCTTCCAATATCCCTGTGCTGCATGGAAAAGCATGGATGGTTTGGGTTGGAAGGGACCTTAAAGCTCATCCAGTTCCAACCCCTGCCACGGGCAGGAACCCCTTCCACTGGAGCAGCTTGCTCCAAGCCCCTGTGTCCAACCTGGCCTTGAACACTGCCAGGGATGGGGCAGCCACAGCTTCTCTGGGCACCCTGTGCCAGCGCCTCAGCACCCTCACAGGGAAGAGCTTCTGCCTAAGAGCTCAGCTCAGTCTCCCTCGGGCAGGTTCAAGCCATTCCCTCCCCTTTCTTTCCTGAGCAGCCTCCCCAGCACACAGTATTCCCTACCACCAGTCAAGGCATTCCCGCTGTCACGCTACAAGAGCGCTTTCCTCTTCAGTTTTATTTCCAGCTTTCATTTCCAAGTCAATGCACAGCAGTTATATCACCTCATTGAAAGCAGCTGGGCCCTCCCCACAGGGCTCACAACGGCTGAATATCCACCCAGCTTATCCTGCCTCAAACTCCAGCTTTGTTCTCCAGTACAGCCAAGAACAAATTCCATCCCGTGGCACAAGACAGGGGCAATCCATGGTTAAACACATGCACTATTCAGACCCATTTAGATTCTCACTGTACCTTCTGTTCTCAGCGCAGAGCTTCGCTCTGCTGACTTACCCACAGAAAACAGGCAGGGAAAAGCAATTTCAATGCATCCAGCAGACACACAGCCCCAAAGAGTTTTTGCAGCTTTATCCTAATAAGTGAGTGGATTAACACACGGAGAGGTGTTGGAGCAGCAGGCAGGAGGATGCTCCTGTGTAATGCGTGCAACACCAGGAAACTCCAGGTAAGGAGAAGGGGGAGGTGGTTCAGGGAGAGGCATCCATGAGGCACTGTACAAAGAGTAAGTGCAAGCAAAGAGAACAAACCCTCTTCCGTCTGTGCCTGGCACAGCCATTTCACCCAGTGCAGTACCTGCTTTCACTTTGTAAAGCCTGCCTCACTGAGCTTCTACAGCTGTTCTTAAACGCACATACATATCTATATACCGTATTTAATCAGCCCACAAAGCACATGGCTCACAGCACATAACAGGTCCCAGCAATGCGCCACGTTTGGACGTCTATTTATAAACCCTGCTCCTGAAGAACTCCTGGAGTGAATGTCGGACCGAGGATCGAGCAGTGCTCAGCAGGAGCCGATGCACCACGACACACACACACACACGGATGGAGCCGGCTCTCCTCAATGGGAAGCCCTCTGGATAACAAAAGCAGCAGGAACAGGGATTGGAGGCACGGGGGAGCTGTGGATCGGGGCATTTCCATGCAGGGTGGAGGAGAGGAGCGCTGCTGCCCCGCAGAGCTCGTCCTGGGGGGGCTGCCTCCCCCTCGGAGCACCCGGAGGTGCCATCATCTCACAGTGCCCATTCAATGCTACCCCCGGCTGAAGCCCCTGCTTTCGGGGCTGCGCCACAGAACTCCTGAGCTCGCTCCCAGTCTGAATTATGCCACGATCCCAAGTTCAGCTTTCCTTTTAAGTACTTTCTTAGCCAAAAGCGACGGCTTCAGCCACACACACGGCCGAGGGAGGGGGGGTAAAACCATCCCATCCCTTCGCACCAGCCACACAAAGCCCCGGGGCTGCAACACCCCATCGCCCAGCAAAGGTCCAGCTCCTTAACTCTTTGTGTCTGCCCGCAGCACCCGCTCCTCCAGCCGAAGGCAGCGCGGGGTTCGCAGCACAAACTACAGGCTGAGCCCCGATTCTCACCCCAGCCTCTGCTCTGGGACCCCAGAACCGCGGTTAAAGATAACTCCCTTTGTTAAATGAATGAGCCGGAGGGAGCCAGGCTCAGAACCCCCCTCCCATAAGAAAAAGAGGAGGACAAAAAAAGGATGACGAGAAGCATCAAACCCGCTGCGCAAACTTCCCGGCTCCACAACAACGAGCGACGAGGAAATCCCCTCTCCGCGGCCCGGCGGGACTCACCTTCCGCCCGCCGCAAGGTGCTGCCCGGCTCCCGGCTCCCGGCTCCCGGCTCCCCAGCACCGCCTCCCTTCTCCTTCTCCTTCCCTTTCCCTTCCTTTCCCTCCCCTCCGCTCCCCGCCTTGCCGCAGCCATTGGCTCCGAGCGGCCGCCAAGGTGGGCACCGGGGCGCGGTGGGGCGGGACCGGGGAAGGGGCAGCATCGGATGCGGATACGGGATGGAAAGTTTTAAAGGGATGCGGTACCTTCTCGGGGCAGCGGATCCGCGGTTCGGGGCTTGTCTCGCCGCTGGGGTGCCCCGGGGAGCCCGCACCTTGATGGAGTGAAGGAAGGGAAGGAGGAAGGGGAGGCAAAGCGCTCACGCCATCACGGGAGGCACAAGGCGGGGAGCGGATCACCGGTGCTCACACCCTTGGCGTGCAGCGCTGCCGTGACTCGGTGCTGTTAGCCCTATCGCGCTGTGCTATCGCAGAGCCGGCTCCGCTGAGGGCTGGGTGATCCCCAAAAGGCAGGAACTGAGCCGGGCCCTGCCCTGCTGCCGAGCTGCACAGGCTGAGGGCTTGCGCTGTGGGGAGTGCAGGGATGCGGATCCGGAGCTTGCTGGGAACTTGTCAGCCTGCTCACGGGAGTTGGGGCTCAGTGCCTGTGCTCTGCTGAGAGAAAGAGAGGAGGGATTTGACTGAATTCGAATGGGAAGAAAGCGTTTCCCATGTGAGGGAAGGTGGCCATGCCCCTGGCAGGGGGTTGGAACTGGATGAGCTTGAAGTCCTTTCAACAGAAAAAGGACATGGAGCTGTTGGAACAAGTCCAGAGGAGGCCACGAGGATGCTCAGGGGCTGGAGCAGCTCCTGTATGGAGCCAGGCTGAGAAAGTTGGGGCTGTTCAGCCTGGAGAAGAGAAGCTGTGTGGAGACCTCAAAGCAGCTTCCAGTGTCTGAAGGGGGCCTATAGGGATGCTGGGGAGGGACTCTTCATTAGAGACTGTAGTGACAGGACAAGGGGTGATGGGTTCAAACTGAAACAGGGGAAGTTTAGATTGGATATAAGGAAGAAGTTCTTTCCTGTGAGGGTGGTGAGGCACTGGAATGGGTTGCCCGGGGAGGTTGTGAATGCTCCATCCCTGGCAGTGTTCAAGGCCAGGTTGGACGAGGCCTTGAGTGCCATGGTTTAGTGTGAGGTGTCCCTGCCCATGGCAGGGGCTTGGAACTGGATGATCTTAAGGTCCTTTCCAACCCAAACTATTCTATGATTCTAACCCAAGCCATTCCATGACTCTAGGATCATACAGCTGCACCACTGACAAGAACAAAGCATGAGGTTGTGGGCATGGAACACGCTGTCTAGAAGTAAAACATTAGGTAGATAGAGACAAAAGAGACACAAATAACACAGGTCACCACCCCCGAGCTGCCTTTTGGACCCAGTGTGTGGCCCATGGAGGACAGATGAAGGCAGCGCTGCCACAGTCCTGCCCTTCCCCCTTGTCCCAACATTTATCAGTTCCTGTGATAAGTTTGTTTGGGAGCTGAACCAGCAGAAAAAGGAACAGGGCAAAAATAAACCAATGGAGGAAGTGAGAATGGGTGAGCGTGAGCAGGCTGCAATGGGGCTGATCCCAGCCAGTGGAACCTGGTGGGGAATTGCACGCTGGGAATTACTTCCCTTTGTTGGGTGTATTTAACTGGATTTAAAACCACACAGACAGATTACCTGAGCTCCCTGGAGTGGGGCCTGGCTGTTGTCTGTCAGCTGGTGGCAACAGGAGGATGCTCATGTCAGTATAAGCCAATGCATCAGCCACTTCACTTTGAAGATGGCCATGATTTACCCTTTTCAGAAACATGGCTGCATCCTGATAATACAAAAAATAAACTCTTGAAGCCAGGTGAGGGATTGGTCCAAAATACTCATAAACATGCCTTGTTTGATAAGATATTTTACCAAATGCATTCATTCAACCACATGGATAACAGCTGGGTGAGGTAATGGCAGTGGTTGACCAAAGGCCTGATCCATACGCAGTGAGTGCATTGATCCACCAGCCCTGCTACAGCTGTACTTGTATGTGCAGGGTGAGCAGCAGCTCAGGGAGGGGATCCTGCCTCTCTGCTGTGTGAAGGGGAGACCCCCCCTGCAGCCCTGATCCAGCTCTGGGGCAGCAGCACAAGAGGGACGTGGAGCTGTTGGAGCGAGGCCAGAGGAGGCCATGGAGCTGCTGCGAGGGCTGGAGCAGCTCTGCTCTGGAGCCAGGCTGAGAGAGCTGGGCTGGGGCAGCCTGGAGAAGAGAAGGCTCCTGAAGGGGAGACCTTAGAGCAGCTCCAGTGCCTAAAGGGGCTGCAGGAAAGCTGGAGAGGGGCTTGGGACAAGGGCCTGTAGGGACAGGCCAAGGGGAATGGCTTGAACCTGCCCGAGGGGAGACTGAGCTGAGCTCTTAGGCAGAAGCTCTTCCCTGTGAGGGTGCTGAGGCGCTGGCACAGGGTGCCCAGAGAAGCTGTGGCTGCCCCATCCCTGGCAGTGCTCAAGGCCAGGTTGGACACAGGGGCTTGGAGCAAGCTGCTCCAGTGGAAGGGGTCCCTGCCTGTGGCAGGGGTTGGAGCTGGAGGAGCTTTAAGGTCCCTTCCAACCCAGACTGCATTGATTCTGTGTATAAAGCAGCATGAAATAAGCAGGACTTTAGTTATAATTGCTCTTAAAGCTGCTTGAAGCTGAGGAAAGACTGTGTACACACAGATTAACTCGGTTCAGAAACTGTTTCAATTAAAGCTTTGTATATTCACTGCCAAGGGATCTCACCAGAACATTCAGAACTGCATTACATTTCGTTATTATCCTACTCTGTAGCAACTTGGAGCCACAAAGAGATCTCCTGAAGGGATATCCTGGGATTACAATCCTTATCGTTTTCTGAAACTACCCAAATTTGAAGACTCTTTTGTCTGAAATATTGCTGGATATTTCAGAGGGGGTTCCCAAACAAAAGGAGGAAAAGGCAGTAGGGATGTCCATGAACATCATCAGAAAGGGATACAGAGCTACCACTGCAAACCAATCTGGTATTTGAGAGAGGAATGAGTGAGATATAGAATCACAGACTGGTTTGGATTGGAAGGGACCTTAAAGACCATCTAGTTCCAATCCCCTGCCATAGGCCTTGTACTCAGGATAAATCAGATGACCCTTTTCCAGTATGGGTTGAAAAGAGGATTCCTTACTCCTCCAAAGGATCTGTTGTGTCCTGTGGGAAGAAGCCTGGCACCAGGCCCCAGCCTCAAAGACCAGCTCTGTTGCACAATCAGTTTTACAGTGATCACGTCAGAACCACAATTTCCTCCCCATCAGACACCCAGCACAAGGAGCAGTATCAAGCAGTACCAGTATCAATCGTTCTTACCCTGCTGTGCATCTCTGCTCCTAAGCTACTCCCTGCATGCACCAGCACAGCTATTTGTGCAGGAGGGATCCAGGGACTGCTCCACATAAGGTTTGTCCTGGGTGTTCCTTCAGCCAGCTCACATTCCCAGCTATCTTAGCTGACACAATGCAGAGGGAACACAGAAAGTGAATTTCAGAGAGTGAAATCACAGCAGGTAAATCTCAGCTGAGGGACATAACTCGTTATGACATACCAGCTTAGTCACCTGCAGTCATCCATCCCCTCCTTTCATCTGCTCCAGCAATTACAGACAAATTGGCCTCAGCCTACAAGGAAGAAACCAGAGTTCATGAATGACTTGAACTTTAATTGGCTCCAAGCCTTTAGCAGTCAGGCAAGGAGTGGGAAAAGAGAAACAGAGGAAAGGATTCCTATAGCCATACAATACACAATTCCAGCGTTCCTCAGTCAGGGATCTCCCTGTGAAGATGTGGAAGCAGCAAGCACCAGCAAGCAAAGCTGAAGGTGATGGTGGGTCAGCGTTTTACTGCCTGGAGGTTTCTCACCCAGTCAATCAGCAGTCAGTCCAGCAAACTGATGTCGTTTGTGTGGCGTGAAGCCATGGAGAAGACAGTGATTCATCTCTGCCCTACGTGTGGCAGAAGCTTGTGCAGCTCTGCAAAGTATTCCTAAACCATTCCCACATCAGAGCTGTGTCCTTTTCATTCTGCTTTGTCCACAGAAAACAAGAGACTCGAGGAGCAGGGAGTGTTTCTGGACACAGATCTGGGATGCACATGAGTACATGTTTTCTCCAAGCAAACACACAAAAGCAGGTCAGCCACAGTCTTTCATTTCCTCAATAAGACTGAGGGTGTTCTAGTGCCAGGAAAGCAAAATGACTAAAGGGCCAGAACACCTGAGTGGTGGAGAGCAGCATCTGGTTCCTATCGTACACATCCTGATGATAGATGGTGTGTGAGACCCATCACAAAAGAAGCTAGAATCTAGCAGCAAAATGCCTGCAAGCTGCACATTGCATCTGCTGAGTATTTAACATGGATGTGCACTGCCTGCCATAGTGGAGAGGGCTTTACTAAGTCTCTGGAGAGGGGCTTGGGACAAGGGCCTGTAGGGACAGGCCAAGGGGAATGGCTTGAACCTGCCCGAGGGGAGACTGAGCTGAGCTCTTAGGCAGAAGCTCTTCCCTGTGAGGGTGCTGAGGCGCTGGCACAGGGTGCCCAGAGAAGCTGTGGCTGCCCCATCCCTGGCAGTGCTCAAGGCCAGGTTGGACACAGGGGCTTGGAGCAAGCTGCTCCAGTGGAAGGGGTCCCTGCCCGTGGCAGGGGTTGGAGCTGGAGGAGCTTTAAGGTCCCTTCCAAACCATTCTATGATCTCTCTGCCTAGAATGAGTTCAAATACAGGGGTAAGAACCTGTATTTAGCAAAGCTGGCTCTGGATTTGTTTGATTTTAGCACTGTGTGAAGTTGAAAATCCAGCATATGCATTACCATTTCTAAGGATTTGGCTCTATCCAATTGTTTTATACTAGATAAATGGTTAAAGCATCATACTGGGTGCATTCCCTGTTGCTTCTTGGTCCTGCATTTCTGGATCAAAGGCTCAAAGTAGACCCGGTATCTGACTGGTTCATGTATAACAGTAAGTACAACCTGG